TACTGGCCTAATTCTGTGAGGAGGGCCCTGTAGCTCAGGGACGTCTGGCAAAATGTCCAGCATCAGTGGGCTGTCCCTAGAGTCAGGGCACTCTGGCCTAGTGGCCAGACACCATTGGACCGCCCTTCAGCGCAAGTCTGTATGGCCTAGCCCCCAGGGTCTGTGGGGCCGCTCTCCCGTGCAAGGCATACAATTCAAATAAATTTGGAATTTTTAATATATTCTTATTTTAATGACAGACTTGATATTTTTCCTAACAGTATGTAAATATCATTAGAAATTTAAATCAATTTGCAATGTATTCTATTTATTTATTATATTAATTCACACAATTAACTAAAAAATAATCGTGATTAAAAAAATTAATCTTAATTAATCACAGTTTTAATTGCACTGTTAAACAACAGAATGCCAATTGAAATTTATTAAATATTTTTGGATGTTTTTCTACTTTTTCAAATACATTGATTTCAATTACAACACAGAATACAAAGTGTACAGTGCTCACTTTATATTACTTTTGATTACAAATATTTGCACTGTGACAAAATGACAAACAAAAGAAATAGTATTTTTCAATTCACCTCATACAAGTACTGTAGTGTAATCTCTTTATTGTGAAAGTGCAACTTACAGATGTAGATTTTTTTTGTTACACAACTGTACTCAAAACCAAAACAATGTAAAACTTTAGAGCTTACATGTCCACTCAAGTCCTACTTCTTGTTCAGCCAATCACTAAGAGAAACAAGTTTGTTTACATTTACAGGAGAAAATGCTGCCCGCTTCTTATTTACATCACCTGAAAGTGAGAAAAGGCATTTGCATGGCACTTTTGTAGCTGGCATTGCAAGGTATTTATGTGTCAGATATGCTAAATATTCATATGCCTCTTCATGGTTTGACCACCATTCCAAAGCACATTCTTCCATGCTGATGACGCTTGTTAAAAATAAATACATTAATTCAATTTGTGACTGAACTCCTTGGAGGAGAATTGTATGTCTCCCGCTCCATTGTTTTACCAGCATTCTGCCACATATTTTGTGTTATGGTAGCCTCGGATGACGACCCAGTATATGTTATTTGATTTAAAAACACTTTCACTGCAGATTTGACAATACACAAAGAAGATTCCAATTATCAGATTTCTAAAAATAGCTACAACACTCAACCCAAGGTTTAAGAATCTGAAGTACCTTCCAAAATCTGAGAGGGAAGAGGTATAGAGCATGTTTTCAGAAGTCTTAAAAGAACAACATTTTGATGCAGAAACTACAGAACCCAAATCACCGAAAAAGAAAATCAACCTTCTGTTGGTGGCATCTGACTCAGATGATGAAAATGAACATGTGTCGGTCTGCACTGCTTTGGATCATTATCGAGCAGAACCCGTCATCAGCATGGACGCGTGTCCTCTGGAATGGTGGTTAAAGCATGAAGGGACATGTGAATCTTTAGCACATCTGGCACGTAAATATCTTGCGACACCGGCTACAACAGTGCCATGCGAATGCCTGTTCTCACTTTCAGGTGATATTGTAAACAAGAAGTGGGTAGCATTATCTTCTGCAAATGTAAACAAACTTGTTTGTCTGAACAAGAAGTACGACTGAGTGGACTTGTAGGCTCTAAAGTTTACATTGTTTTATTTTTGAATGCAGGTTTTTTTTGTACATAATTCTACATTTGTAAGTTTATCATGAAAGTTAAAGAGATTGCACTACAGTTTTTGTATTAGGTGAAATGAAAAATACTGTACTATTTCTTTTGTTTTTTACAGTGCAAATATTTGTAATAAAAATAGAATACAAACTGTACAGTGCTCACTTTATATGTGTTGTAATTGAAATCAATATATTTGAAAATGTAGAAAACATCCAAAAATATTGTTTAATAGCATGATTAATAGTGATTATTTTTTTAATCGCTTCACAGCCCTAATATTTAGCAAACAATAGATTACATATATTTCTTCAAAGTGAATAAATATTATTTTTAGGAATTTCACAAACAAACATATCCAGTATATGTTATATTATTTAATCACGCACTGCATGTTGGATTTTCTTAACAGCATGTCAATATTGTAACAATATCATAATTATAAAGTTAGCATTCATGTTAGATTTGCAGTGCATGCTTATCATGATTAACAAAAGCATGAACTGCGTATTTCTCTTAGCACACCAATATCATTATTAAAAAAATCAGCAAACAGATCTAAAGCTGGTGCATGTTAAACATGTAACATAGAACCCAGAAAGACTTTCTTTAGCATAAGTTTATATTTGCTCGTAATCACAAGAGCTATCTTGATACCATCTATTACGGAAAATATTTAAAATCCTATTTCTCTAAACACAATATGATATAAACTGTTTCCATAAACTCTAGTAATAGTGCATTGGGATTCATGAAGGTATCATAAAACTGTTTGTGTAACACTTCTAGTATACTGCCTTTAACTTCACAGCAAAAAGCTTTGATTTTTTGGGGAAATCTTAGTACTGCGTATACATATGCAATTACTTATTACTATTTCCTCTTTTTGGTTTAAATTATATAAAAGGTTTTTAAATGCTGTCTCTGTTTATCTTATAAAGTTGTGGTTGTCTGCTATTTTTAAAATGAGATACGGTAAAGAATGGCAGCTTGATAAAATGTATTTATTTCATTAGTGTATAGAAAGTATAACTATAACAGTATTAATAAGATTCTAACTCGATGAAAATGTGCATAGCAGTAGAGAACTGTTAGAGAATTAATGGCCCTATCACTCTCACTGTAAACTAGCAAGCAATTAAAGATTCTTCCAAATGCAGGTACAGATTTTCTATTTTGGTATTGGTCTAATATGCTGATTCCTGGCTAAAAAGAATGTATATAGAAGTTAATATTTTTTCTCCCTGATTTCCTGTTATTTCTGAAAATGTCTGAAACAAATCAAGCCAATACGCAAGGAATGAAGCGGGTGACCTGTGGGGAAAAAAATAGCATGAATCATAGAATATTAGAGTTGGAAGAGGTCATCTACTCCAACCTGCTCAAAGCAGGACCAACCCGAACTAAATCATCCCAGCCAGGGCTTTGTCAAGCCGGGCCTTAAAAACCTCTAAGGATGGAGATTCCACCACCTCCCTAGGTAACCCATTCCAGTGTTTCATCACCCTCCTAGTGAAATAGTTTTTCCTAATATCCAACCTAAACCTCCCCTACTGCAACTTGAGACCATTGCTCCTTGTTCTGTCATCTGCCACCACTGAGGACAGCCTACCTCCATCCTCTTTGGAACCCACCTTTAGGTAGTTGAAGGCTGTTATCAAATCCCCCCTCACTCTTCTCTTCTGCAGACTAAATAAGCCGTTCCCTCAGCCTCTCCTTGTAAGTCATGTGCCCCAGCCCCCTAATCATTTTCGTTGCCCTCCGCTGAACTCTCTCCAATTTATCCACATCCTTTCTGTAGTGGCAGGCCCAAACCTGGACGCAATACTCCAGATGTGGCCTCACCAGTGCCGAACACAGGGGAATAATCACTTCCCTCGACCTGCTGGCAATGCTCCTACTAATGCAGCTCAATATGCCGTTAGCCTTCCTGGCAACAAGGGCACACCGTTGACTCATATCTAGCTTTTCGTCTACTGTAATCCCCAGGTCCTTTTCTACAGAACTGCCGCTTAGTCAGTCGGTCCCCAGCCTGTAGAAGTGCATGGAATTCTTCCATTCTAAGTGCAGGATTCTGCACCTGTCCTTGTTGAACCTCATCAGATTTCTTTTGGCCCAATCCTCCAATTTGTCTAGGTCACTCTGGATTCCATCCCTACCCTCCAGCGTATCTACCTCACCCCGCAGCTTAGCGTCATTTGTGAACTTGCAGAGGGTGGAATCCATCCCATCATCCAGATCATTAATGAAGGCATTCCACTGGATACTGGCTGCCAACTAGACATTGAGCCGTTGATCACTACCCGTTGAACCTGACAATTTAGACAGCTTTCTATCCACCTTACAGTCCATTCATCCAATCCATACTTCTTTAACTTACTGGTCATGCAATTAAAGATGGCATCATACTGGTCGTGGCCAAAGAGGATAAATTAGCTTGCAGGCCCAAAAATAAGCTGTCAGTTAAGGACCCCAAATTGTATTTATTCTAAACAATTTTGTTTTTAAAGTCAGTCACTTTGGAGGTGGCCTGATCCATGATTTTCAAATGGCTCAGCTTAGCAATGCTAAAGCTCACCGGATGTTGGGGGACACGCACCAACAAACACCCTCTGTGAATGTGAGCTCCTGATCTGTGAGGGGTGCCCCTGCCATCATCCCCTGCCTGGGTGGGGGGAATGAGGAGTCACTTTCAGGCCCCTCTGGGTGGGGGGAAATGAGGAGTCCCTCTCAGGCCCCTCTGTGGGGAAAGTCCCTCCACGGCCCCTCTGTATATGGGGCTAGCTGTGTAAGCAGAATGGCGACAGCCCTGTAGGGCTGCCCCTGTAGCAGCTGGGGCCTCACTTTCTTGGGTTCAGGGTCCCTGCCCTGCAAAGGGATAAAGCCTCCCCGCACTTCCAGCAGTACTCGCGCCGCCCCCGCCGCAGCCCCTTCCCCAGGGCGCGCGGCCTCAGGCTCAGACTCCACTGCGGCTGCGCCAGGTGGGTCGGGCCAACAACCCCCAGCGCGCGGGCCGCTCCCCTCCTAGGTCCCGGCCGCAGTACAACCCTCCCACCCGCAACGGGACCAAGCCCCGCCCTCTCCGATTCTGATTGGCCAAAGCGCCAAGGCCCGCTCTTATTCACCTCCTGACTAGCGGACGCTGAACCCCCCACCCGCCCCTTCCCTAGCTCCCATTCCGGATTAGCCCACGTCACTTTGACACCGCCCCATAAAGCTAGCGTCTTCCGCGGATTGGCTCCGGCTCCCGGAGCCTCCTCGGCTTTAGTCCCTTTACGGATTGGTCACGCCCCACAAGCAGAACTTCCATTGGCTTCTCGCCCAGTCACTCAGGCTGGACTCACCGCCCATCACCCCGTCCCCGGACAGAGCACTGAGTGTCCGTAACTGCTGCCGCGTTCCGCCCGGGCCTTCCTGACGCGTCATCCACCCGCGCCCGTGTTCCGGCCGGACCCCGGGCTCCCTTTCCGGCCTGAGCCGCGCCCCCCCCCAGCGCCCTCGCGGTAACCGTCTTATTTTCCGTACGAGCCCAGAGCAACAACGTGTGGCGCCTTGGGAGAGTTCGTCAGTAATTACTGCGAGACACAACTGGGTGGGCGTTTAGGACAGGACGGAAAGCCGGCAAGTATGGGCCACGCGTAGTTCAGAGGCCGTTCTTCTGCGCTGTGATTGTACCCGAAAGGAGAGCAGCGCTTCAGCTAAGCCCGAGTCGGCTCCCTAGTAAAATGGATTACAGCAGCGTGCACAACTCGTAAAGTGGGAGGGCCATATTATTCCAAAGAAAACAGCTGAGGGCCAATCCCCCTCTCCAGCCCCGCTGAAACCCCACCCCAGTGCCACCCAGTCCCCCCGAAACACAACACCTTCCCCCCCCCAGCGCCGCCTGCCCCACGGAACCCCCCCAGCGCCACCGAAACACCCCCCCCCGTGCTGCCTGTCCCGCGGAAACAACCCCTCCTGCCTCAGTGCCGCCCCACCGGTAATACATTATAGCGGGCCCCTAAGGTAGTATAATTAAGGTAAAAGAAAAATGTCTTTTTGCTAGAAGTAGAATAAGATCTTCCCCCCGCTTTGTAATCAATTGCCCTGTTGACTGAATGAGGTAGGCATGGAAGGCAGGCACCTCCAGACAGCTGCAACCCTTGGAGAGGGAATGGGAGCCAGACCAGATCAGTAGAACAGGTCAGCCACTGATTCCCAGCTCACCTCCTCAGCCCTCATCCCCTGGCTCGCCTACTCACCCCCCTGCCACTGCCTGCCCACTTGCCTCCGCAGCCCCCCGCCACCACCTGCCCGTTCACCTCCTCAGCCCCCCACCCCCCAGCTCGCCTACTCACTCCCCGCCACTGCCCGCCCGTCTACTCAGCCCCCTCCCTCACCCGCCGCTTGCCTACTCACCCGCCGCTTGCCGCACAGTGAGCCCACGCGGGCCGCATGTTGTGCAGGCCTGGATTACAGTCAGACTAGCTCCTGCTGCTGTGAAACGCAATTTGAGTGTGAGAGAGAAAAATACTGATACCTTGTTACAGTTTTGAATTGCAAAATTAACTGCGGTTGCTAGTGTGAGGCAGCTTAATTGGCAAATCAGTCCTCAGTTTGCACACTGTTTTAAATATGTTTGTATAAAAAGCACATCGTCCTGGTTAATGTTTTTTTGTTTATTTGTTTGAAATGAACACTTTTTGGTTAAAAAAATAAAATCGGCCTGAATCAGCAAAGAGGCTGGATACTATAGTACTGCAGTACTTTCTTGGCCAAGAAAACATGAAGTATGTAGCACAGAAGAGTGTGCTCGGGATTATGAGAAATTTAGGGCGAGTCTACACTGGCAATGCTAAAGCACTGCTGCGCTTTAACGTGCCTTGTGTGGTTAAAAAAACCCACCTCCACGAGGGGCGTAGTTACCAGCGCTCAGAGCTGTCTACACTGGCGCTTTACAGCGCTGAAACTTGCTGTGATCGGGGGTGTTTTTTCACACCCCTGAGCCAGAAAGTTGCAGCGCTGTAAATTGCCAGTGTAGACAAGCCCTCAGATATAAATGTGCCTACCAGAATTCACAGGTATTATATCTGAAATGTGACCTGTTTGGGGTACTTTGCAGAAAGCATGCATAACTTTCTCATAAAGGTGTTCCTCTTTTCAATGCTTGTAAGATGTTTAGAATTCGTTTCCTGCACATGCAGGACTGTTTTGCTGCTCATGTAAAATGAAGGCTTCTGCCCAATGTGCAGTTGCAGTCAAAAATGCTAACAATGTTAGGATGCATAAAGAATAAGATGGTGAATAATACAAAGAATATTATAATTCTTTTATATAAATCAATGGTGTGGCCTCATCTGGTTTCTGTGGGAAGTTCTAGTTGCCCTATCTCAAAAAGGATATTGCAAAACTAGAAGAGGTTCAGAGAAGGGCAATGGGAATGATGAAGGGTATGGAAAAACTCAGATGATGAATAATACAAAGAATATTATAATTCTTTTATATAAATCAATGGTGTGGCCTCATCTGGTTTCTGTGGGAAGTTCTAGTTGCCCTATCTCAAAAAGGATATTGCAAAACTAGAAGAGGTTCAGAGAAGGGCAATGGGAATGATGAAGGGTATGGAAAAACTCAGATGAAAGAGAAGGTTGGGGTTGCTTACCTTTGAAATGTGTCAAATAAGAGAGGGTATAAGAGTATATAAAACTGGGGGGGGTCACATGCTTTGTAACTTGTTTAGGATGAGGTTATTGCATGCATGAGGGGCTTCTTGCATTGCTCCCTTCCACAAGCTCCCAGTGTGCCACCCTCCCATCCCCCTCATTCCACAGCTCCTCCATCCTTTCCTCTTAACAGGGTCTCTGTGTCCCCCTTGCCCTGTAAAAGCCCTTGGCATGGGGAACAATGTGCTCCCTTTCCCTATGTGCCCCGGTCCACCATTCTCCCCATCAGGGTTCTTGTGTGCCCCCAATGCCTAAGTTCCCCATTCTCCCCACAGTGCCAAGGGCTATGTCCCCTCCATTTCTCCTTTCCCAGCCCTTCCCAGTCTTCCTTCCCCCTATGCCAGGGGCTGTGTGTGCTCCCAATTCCCCCTCCCCCCCATTCCTACCTTCTACCCATGCCAGGGGCATGTGTGCACCCTCTTCCCCTACCTTTATACTTTCTCTTCTTTCTTTCTGGGAGATAGGGTGACCAGATGTCCCGATTTTTATAGGGATAGTCCCGATTTTGGGGGATTTTTCTTATTTAGGCACCTATTACCCCCCCCACCCCCGTCCTGATTTTTTACACTTGCTATCTGGTCACCCTACTGGGAGATAAATCATTCAGGGTGTCAACATGTTAAATTGCATTGGGAGGATGGGCAGAGATGGGGGGTATTCTTACGGTTTGATTTGCAGAGGTGGTTTGATTTGCAGAGGTGTTTCAAACTGTGGCTCTATTAAACAGATGACAGAAGTTCTGTGTTCCCATGTACCTATGTGGAAGGAGGAAATGTCATTTTGTGCACAAGAAGCTCTTGTAACTAGATTGTTCTCTAAAATGCACATGCTCTTTAGGAAGCATTCCAGATATACATAAAGAAAGCCATCGCTGTGATTGCTGATGGATCCATTGACAGGTCTGTAGCTGAACAGCAGTCGGTGTATGTCAGATTTGTCCAGGAGGGAGAACCTACTATGTAAGCAAAAAGAGCACAACATGTGGAATCTAGGACAGGTAATGATATCACACAAGGAATAAAAACAGTTTTACGAGTCATAAGGATCAGGTTGAAGAGCTCACCTGAAAGCCGGCTGCATTGAATGTAGGTGGTGCAGCAATGATGGGGCTGTCAAGCCAAGTTTAGACACGCTTTTTTATGTTCTGCATTGTGTCAACCACAAGATTGACATTTTCTGGGTCTCAGATAAAAATCGTTAATAGTTTGAACTTAGGTTGAAAGACATCCTTACGTTTTACTACTTAGTGCCGAAAGACAGCGGCAGCTTCCATCTCATTGGCAGCAGCGGGATCTTGCTGATCATGAGCTCTTCTGGAAGTATGCATTATATGTGCTGGGCTGCTAATCGGGCCAGAGCTCTGATTGCAGTGATGAAAAATGATCATTTGTCTATTTCCCAACTTTGCAGAAAATGAGTCAGGAGCCATTGTATCTTTTGGGGGATATTTTTAAGGAGATCAGGACAGGCAAATTTGTGAAAATATTGTATTTCGTGGTGATTTAATTATTATTGTGATGGCAGTCATTCTCTCAGAAAGGGTCTCTAGTTTGTGAAGGCTCTGCAAAAGCTGCCAAGTGCTATGCTGGAACTCAGAACAGTTGTATGTGCTTTCCAGCTCTACCATGTTTTCTCTGCTGGTCTGACGGGGATTAGGAGCAAAACATTTGTGGACACGGTGACAATGAGTTATTAACTGCCAGCAGCAATGATGATTATTTGATTTATTTTTATATTACAGTAATGTCTAGGAGTCCTAGTCATGGGCCCCATTGTATTAGATACTGTATACACACGTAGGAAAAAGATAGTCTCTGCCCCCAAGAGTTGACACTCGAAGTAGAGGATTAGGTTAATACCATTCTGCATGATCAGATCTCCATTTCAAACCAGATGTTATACATGATATTATGTAGGTATTAAAATTATACTCAAATTTGAGATAATTGTTCAACCTACTAGGTTTTTTACATTTTGATTTAATTTTATTAAATATTTGACTTGTAGGGAGGTTAATCCTCTATTTGTTAGGGAATTCATTTGGCAAAAGTGAAATCTCATTTGAGAAGGCAGTGGAAATGTCTAACCTGAGAGTTGGTAGTGCTTAGAAATATAGATAAATATTGAAGTGAACAGTGAAATATACTAAAATATTGAAGCAGCAGAATAAAGAATATTAAGTGCTTTTTTCTTTTCTGTTTGAATATTACGTAGAATACAAACGTTGCCGACCCCTGGGTTAGTTACTGCAGGACAACCTTTCAACAGCGATTTAAAACCAGGATCCTGTCTACTGTATGTTGATATTACAGCACTTATGTCACATTTTTCATGAATAATAGTTTGCCTCTGTGTCCTTAGCCAAAATACCCCTGCTCCTCTTTACTGTGCTGAGTACCATGTGTGGGATACAAACATTCCTCTATCCCAGAAGTTGCTGTATTCACTGTTGGATTTTTCAGTGCCTTGTATTCTATTGAGATTAAAGGTGGTATAACGATAAAGTATTATCAGCCACAAGTTATCGTTCCAGCAATATTCCAGACCCATTTATCCAACACTCATTTGCCTGAAGTACTGTCTTATTCAAATCTCTTATTCTCCTCATCTTCTCCTGAACTACCCTGAACTCTTCTTATGAATTGCTTACCCAATAGTTTTATTCTCCAAACTATGCAGATCCTCATTTAACTAAATGTTTTATTGGCCCGGTAATGTTTTGGAAAAATGGAATTGCTGTGCTTAACTAACAAACAAGAACAGACTGAAAGTTGGCAAATCCAACAGACAAACCTATACAGCAAAAATCCAGGACAGGAACTAATCAAGTCTGTGATAAGTTTCTGCTTGTTCTAAAAGTGGTTGTCTGTGTATTTTGAACTTTGAGGTAATTGTGTTTGTGGCTTAATAACTGAAATGTAAG